AAAATAGTTGTTGTTAATGCAAATAAGTATGTAATTATCCAACACCATGGTACTTCACCTTTTCCAGTTGTATTCCAGATAACGTCAATTCTATTTCAGAAAGCGTCAATTGTATTCCAGAATAGTCAATTGAATTTCAGAATAGTCGCATTTTTCAATTCTCCATCAACCTTCCCACACTGATATCACTATTCATAATGATTCTACACACCATCAGCAACATGCAATTGCAGCATATGATAATGATACACAGACTAGTGGATTTTTCAATAAAGAACTCAATATCATAAAACAGATCACAGTCAACAACGGACACAACTTTAATTCGATAGACATTATTCTTCTTGAAGAACTCCATAATGAAGCTTTTCAAGAAGTTTATCCCACTATCAAAAATAATAATCAAAATTATAGAACTCTAACCTATTTCGGATCATCAACTGAAAAATCAGCTTCATTTCTACATAAACAAGACTTAAAAGTAGCATATAGAAGAAATAACACGTTGAGAAGGTTCATCAAGAATAATTAAGACAAAACTTCTGAATTCGAAAAATCAGGGGTATAAAAACTCAACAGTGGATCTTGCCCTGAGGTATTATTTCGGTCAGACAGGTTGTACGTTCAATCAGCGCATTCATGAAAATGAAATGAATTTTTTGAAAAAGTCATAGTGGTTTTAGAAAAATCAAGTACTTTCTTTCTACCAAACAATCTCGTGAGAGCGCGAAAAATAGAAAAAAAATTATGAAACAATTAATTCAATTTTTGTGCATTTTTTTTTCATTCTCACTACGCCTAATTGCGATATAAGGCATGATATCTCAGATGCTCTGTATTGAATTGTCAAAAAATATGCATACAAAAAATTTTGAGAAATATTCAATGTAGTCCCACCCTGTATTATACACTCCTGATTGTAATTTTGGAATTATTTCATTTCCACTACATTCGGCATTGGAATTTTAGTTCTTGTACCAAATTGCATCTTTTTATTAGTACATGGAGTTTCGGAAATACTCAAGAAATATCATCTTCAGGAGTCTCCTTCCAGGGGGCCGTAGCTCCCTCAGGAGAAATTTCTCGACTCATGTTGATTGAAAGTTTTCTTCTCATTTTTGGTAGTGAAAGCCGCTGGTAAAGTTTGCCAGGCTAATTTTGGGACACCCTGTATATGTGGTGTTGATGAGTGCCGTGAGAAAAAATATTTCTCACAGAATGAGCAATACAATCTTGGTTTCGACACTGAGTATATAAGAAATATGCTAATTCTAATAGCAGTTGTAGAAAAAATGAATTCCATAGGAAATTTCATGAGAGTGTAAACATAATGGTTTATTTATGAAATCAATATCGAATCCAATCAGTAAACAATGTTCCAATTTGAAAACAAAAGGATCGTTTCGCTTCGTTCAATAGGAGTTGAAAGTTGTTGAAAACTTGGGAACAACTGCAATTTCAATAATGCTACGCTCTTTACTTCTGCGAAATAATTGAATAATGTATAACCCTTCAACTTCGGTGTTTCCAGCGTACTTACTGTATTCCTGGAGAACTCCATCAAGATATTTATTCACTGAATATTCGTTCTTCAAGTCTCCGATTATTACTTGAAAATGGTGTATTAATCGACCATCTTATACTTTATTCAGTTTCTGACTGATGGAGTGCACTCATAAACAGTTTAGTGTCTGAAGAATGAAGTTTTTCTGCTTTCCTTTAAAAATGCATAAAGAATCTCCACAACATCATAAATGATTTTGAAAATATCGAAAGATAAACTTCGAATCAAATTACGTATATTCGTATAACGATAGAGTCGATTATTCGTTTGAATAAGGAATTACATTTCATCAGAAGCCATTGTTCAAATGAATTTGATGAATTCCTCGGGGGTGAATATATGAGAGATCGTGTTTTTATAAATGAATACATGTTTGATTGTATGTTTTATTGCCATGCTTTTTCCTGCTCCTCTTGATTTGAGATTTTTTGCCAAATGAGAATGCAATTTGAATACAATTTGAAATATATTTATCAATGAAAACATTTGTGGAATGTGTTTCGATTGAGAGCAAGGCATATTTTCATCGGTTATTGGCAAAGCTAGGTAGCTGTTTTATCACTCTAAATGTCTGGTGATTAGTCGGTTTTAGGAAATTGAAGAAATCTTATTGGATCTTGGAATAGACGTGTAATCAATACAGATCATCTGAGTTATTCACATTGCACATCAGAAATTGTTCTACAGATTGAACCAGAAATATGTATCAAGATTTCTGGAGGTGGAAGAATATTGAAAAATAAGTATAGTTCGATAAAAAAAACTAATAGCCCTTAATGTGTATTAATCCTTCCAGAGTTAATTAAATTAAAATAATTTTTCTGCATAACTTCTAAACGGTGGAAACCACCAAATTGAAATTTCCTGCATGAATGTTTGTTGATGAAATACATTTTTCTGATACACATTCACATTTCTGCTAGAGTTATAAAGAGTGTTTATAAAGGGTAGGTCGTGATTTTTTGAAGACAACTTTTTGTCCTGTATTATTTTTGGTGAAAAAACAGCAGCATTTGATGAAACGAAGGCAATTTCATAAAATGGGTACTTCTATCAGAATACGAAGAATTGAACCGTTTTTGAGATATTTGAGTTTTGTAGTCACATGATATCAGCAGATTGATTTATCGGTGACAATATTTAAGGAGCCATGACCAATTTTGTTCTCAATTTTGACGATTATGACATCAATATTGTTATTGTTGAATTCTTCGTTTAGTTTCTCTTGCTTCGTTATATTATTACTACGATATTCAACTGAGATTTTGAGAAATGGAAGGTTATTCGTGATGCAGAGATGTTTCTCGCTTGACGAGATCCAAATTCTAGAACAATTCTGAGGATTTTGCAAAGATTGCGTGAGAAAGATTGTTCCAAAATGAGAAATAGATATGGTGCCCGGCCAAGAAGTTTGAGGCCTATTAAAATATTGTTACTGATGAATAAACCTAATGATATCATGTCACTAAAAAAAGTCAAATTCAAATATTTTGAGAGCGGTTACATTTTTTGTATTTTGATGAGAGGACCATTTTCAGGCTATTTTCTCCATTCTATCAGATGCTGATGTTTTTTCACCAAAAATAGTAAAGGGGAAAAAGTTATCTTCTAAAAATCATGACCCACCCTCTGAAACCACCCTTTATAACTATTGCAGAATTGTAGAAGTGCATCAAAAAACGGTGTTTCATCAGCACACATTTATGCAGAAAATTTCAATAATTTATTTTTATTTATTTAAAATCATTTCAATTCAGTCAACTTTGGAAGGATATATCTCCCTCAATACACATTTTGGGTCATTACTCTATCGTCAAACTATACTTATTTTTCAATGTACTATCCCATCCAGAAAGCTGGGCGCACATTTTCGACTCACCCTGTATAATACTCATATTTCAATTCATGAAAATGAGAAGAGGAGATTCCAAAAAATCTGGAATAGGAATTGTTGTGCTTCTGATATAATATAATTGTTCCCAGAAAATATTCCTTTCGATTACATTACGGTAATTCAATATTCAATTCGTGAATTGAATATTAGAAAAGTTTTTTGTCCTGGCTGGGATTTGCATGTTCACTTACCTATTCATATGTCGAATCCTCATATTTCGATGTGAGGATTCTACCTTTGCTCCATTAGGAATAACACTCTGCATATGAGTATGGGTTCATACTAGTGAGTGAACTTGCCATTGTTGTATATTCTTCTCCTCTAGAATGAACATATTTTCATTATAATAATACTATCATTATAATTCTATCTTGGTCGTTTATACATTATTCTGTATTATTATTAGTTTCTGACCTGTCTATCTTCTCTCAAGTCGATATGATCCTTCTCAAAATGAAGGCATTTGTGAGCAGCTCTCGAAATAGATTTCCAATCAAATTCTTCAGGAACCAATCTCTCGTTATGGGTATGGTCCTTCCAAAGATACAGCTAAACCTTTGGTTCAATGTTTAATCAAAGGCTATTGTATGATAGGGCATGATTTTGTAGTGAAGAGCATTCGATAATTCATCTCGTTCTCCACATTACTACACACCACCAGAGCTCTCAATCGTCCTAGAAGAAGGTTGCATCTCGCTTTCGTATAGTTCTCACCAGTATTTTGAAAATTTTACAAGTTCTACGAATTTCACGAACTTTGTGAATTTTACAAATTTTAAAAATTCTATGAATTTCACAAATTGTACAAATCTCACAAATTTAACAAATTTTAAGAATTCTACGGAGATTAAGAATTTTAATTATACCACGTTTTTTACCCATTCCACGTATTTCACGAATTTTAGGAATTTAAGGAATTTTAGGAATTTTACGAATTTTAGGAATTTTAGGAATTTTACGAATTTTAGGAATTTTACGAATTTTACGAATTTTACGAATTTTACGAATTTTACGAATTTTACGAATTTTACGAATTTTACGAATTTTACGAATTTTACGAATTTTACGAATTTTACGAATTTTACGAATTTTACGAATTTTACGAATTTTACGAATTTTACGAATTTTACGAATTTTACGAATTTCACGAATTTTACGAATTTTACGAATTTTACGAATTTCACGAATTTTACGAATTTTACGAATTTTACGAATTTTACGAATTTTACCAATTTGACAAATTTCACGAGATTAGCGGATTCAACAAATTTAACGGATTTCACGAATTTCACATAGTTCACAAATTTTACGAATTTCAGGAAGTATGCGATTTCAAGGAATTTTTCGAATTTTACGAATGTAACAAATTTCACGAATTTCACGAATTATACGACCTTTACGAATTTCACGAATTCCACGAATTTTACGAGAAACACGAATTCTAGGAATTATAGATACGAATTTCACAAGTTTCACGTATTTCATGAATATATTAGAGTTAGATGCAGGATGTTTGATTGAACGCAGATTTCTTATTTTCAGGTGACAACGTGGACGCCATCTTGATGAGAAAAGCATCATGTGCCATGTGCCTAGCCAGCCAACTAGTCATCGTTCTGATAAGCACATTCATTGGTACGATGCGATAGAAAAACTCAAGTGATTGTGGATTATCCCCAAGTGATATGGACGCTCTACACTCATACTAGTTATATTGATATTCGAAGGGAATAGAAAACACTCCTCCAGAAAATCGTACAAGACTGAAAAATGAAATGCTTCTTTCCCAATATAGATACATATTTATGGAAAGTAGTTGGAGTTTCTTAAATTTCTGACCGGCATTTATTCGAGTTCCTAATTATTGCAACTTGAACTGAACGTGAATAGAAAGAGATTGAATCATAAAAAATTATATCAATTTTCGAAGAAGTCCTTCAGATTAATTATTTTTGTATGCCCACTATAAATGATTCAGCAGGAGAACAATCGTACAACCTATATTTATTGAGAACTTCAACTTCAGATATCATAATATTGATAATGTAATAAAAACTTTTCAGCTGGGTGATGTTATGTTTCAGTTATCACTCATGTCGAATTTTGGAATCCATGTTGAATCATTCATCATCTCAAAAGTGTGAGGAATTTTGTAATAAGCAATGCACAGCCCATACTCTCGAGTTGATATAAGTTACGCCCGAAATACATACAACATTTTATGCACGACCGTTCTAGTCTCATATTTAATATCAATACGGATTTTTTTTATGATTCTCGAATTAATACGGCCAAAATATGTATGCCACTGGCGAAAAATGATCGAATGGTAGTCTACTGGAAATTACTGGAAAAACAATGATTTTTATTTACCGGTCGTTCACCTACTTTACCGCCCGCTGTTCTCCTTTATCGCCCTAGGGCGTTAATTCACGCCTGTAAATCCAGACGATGAAGTGATACTTTACGTCCGGTCGTGCATAAAATTAATCACCTACTCATCAACCTAATTGCTTGTCGAATAGTTTCTGATGATACTATTTTCTCAAGTACTATTATCTCTTCTAATTTGATATTAATTCCAGCATATCAGCAAAATTCGACGATTATACCAAGATGGTCTTCATAATTTCACCTATGGGAAGATTGTCAACCTCTTGTTCTATACTTGAGCCATGCACAATAAAGCAAATAAGTATTATAATTTTTCTACAATGTGCAGTTATGAGATTGGTTATTGGTTCTAACATAACCGACAATGTTAATGATACAATTGAATTAATATCCAAGAAATAATCCTTCACCGAAAATGTCTGATGTTACAGGGAGATAAAATGAATCTGATGTATATTATATCGTACGATTTTCTCAGGAGAGTTTTCAATTCTACAATTAAGTCTGTTATTCCTAATGAATACCTGGATTCTGTCAGAATATATTATCCAAACATGTACATAATTCTTCCCAATGTATTTTGACGAAAATATCTATCTTGATATTTGGAATATCCATTAAACGATGGCGAAGTGCAAGGAGAAACGTTTCACGAATTATAATGTTTTTCACAATATCATATAAGTGTACTACATAAAAACACTAAAGGTCTGCACTTCATTTGTATATACTAGTTCTAATTCCCGATATCGTATAACTTAATTTCATTTTTGTTAAAATACTCAGCTGAGTGATATGGGCCTGAGAAATAACGTTCGTAGCATTGAAATGCTCAAGAACACATGAATATTATTATTATTATTATCATTATCATTATAGAAAATCAAACCGAATAATTCACAACTTCTCGTCATTCATTCATGAGGGCAAAAATGCAAAAATGAAGTGCCAAAGAAGTATTCGAACAATATGAAAATGTATATCCCCATTATCATTAACATGCAATCATTCCATTGCAATAGGATCGTAAGGATAATTCTCGAATATTTATATGCTACGAACTCCTCTCTGTTTCATTTGATGAAGTCGATTATTTCATTTCATGCAAAAATTATTACTGACCAGGACATGAATGAATATGACCAGTAAAAGCATGCACATGCAAAAGAGTTTGAATTGAGCCATTATGGTGGTATTCCATCAGATAAAGACAATGTGCATCATTTAAAGTTATGAATATCAAAACGGAAGCATTTTCAGTTCTAATACAGGGTGTTTCAAATCTTGACACTGAGTTTTGAAACACCCTGTATAATCAAACTAAACATCCTTGTGATTCTTTCCTCTTCCATCGTACCCTGAAACATTATAATAATATTATATTACAGCGAATACTCAACAAATTTCATTCGTTATAATCCACAAAGTAACTAATTGTTTTATCTCTCAATTGTTTGAAGTCATCAGTTTTGCTACGAATGGAACTAAAATTATTACAATACGAAATGTTATTGTTCTAAAATACATTCCAAATTGATATTATCGATTACTTGTATAAAACTGGATGTAAATATATCTTTCATATTCATTATAGTATTAGGTTTAGATATAAATAAATTAATAGATATTACAATCTCTAACAGTACTGTGTGCATGGATATCACCACCAAAAATTATTGTGAATGGTGATTTTGGTCAATATGATTATGGGTCCTGTACCACCATCCATCATGTAATTCATAAGAGATTTCGAGTATTGTAAGATAAAATTTTTTGTTGATATATGATGAGTATCATTCTGTTGAAAATTAAATTGAATTTACAAATTGCTCTTGTTTCATTTTAGCTATTTAACCAGTGGAAGGTGTGATTTTGTGTAAAAATGAGATGGAAACGATTGCGACTTTTTATGCTTTTTCCGCAATCTATCTTCGTCTTTGTGATGAAATGGGAATTCACCACTACAGGAAGCGACCTGTCTGAAAAAAGGAATCGACATAAGATTCAGATGTTTGATAAGCTCAATGTTAATGGCTTGCCCTGATACCTAGCTGCCTATACTGAAAAATAAAATACTCAGCAGCTGATTCGAAATAGAAATTTTTTTAATATAACTGACCCGGAAACAGCTCACCTCTGCATTGCTGTAGAATTTGTTCCCATTCTCAGCACAGGTAATACCTACCATTACATTGAGACCAGTTTCGGATCAGCAAAATATCAGCAAAGTCAGTGATACTCAGTGATACTTCATTCCGAATTCAACTGTCAGCATGTCAGCAGTTTGTCAGGTTCCTTTATCAGTGACGTCATATGATGTTAAATTGTCGGCCATTGAACAACTGGTGAAGGAACAAGCAGAAACATTTTTTTGGAAGTGTATCCATATAGCTTTCTCACAAGTTTCCTACTATAATACAATACCTTATATATTGACATGTTTTTTAATTAATTCATTGGGAATACTGTGAGGAAAGCGAATGATTCTGAAGGAGAATTTAGGGTACGTCATTTTATAACTATTATATTCGTGGATTCACCTTAAGTTTACTTATTTATTTATTTATTTATTTATTTATTGAAGAAACACAAACAGGACGTCGAGGTCCTAATTACATGATTTCTTTTTCCTAATATATCCTACCTAGAAACTAAATGTAAATTATTTAAATTGTATAAACTATTATACTAATATACCTTTATATGCCTGGTAGAGTCGTATGGTATATTGAGTAACACAGGAGAGAGAAAAATTCGATTGTAAAATATGGAAGACAAGAAGGCTAGCCTGGAGGGAGAGTACCATGGTTATTCATAATGCCTTGAAACACTTTTTCATAGATGTGATTTCATCATCAGAGCTTTCAAACGACTCACGGTAATAGTGAAGACGTCTATGTCAAGCTCATTCGAATACTTGTTCAGGAGAGAGCAACAATAATTGTCAGTTATGTTTGGCCTTCTAGGGACCGAGAATAAATTTTTTTTTGGCCTGTTTATGGAATTGGCAAGCAATTTGCAAAAAAATCGTCGATTTTTGAATATATGCACGTTGTGTTTTTATTTGATCAGTCCAAACCCTTTTCTATGAGGTTCATAAGCGACGTAACCTGGATTCGTGCGATGTTTTTTATAATATAGGTATGATATGAATTTGTTTTGTGTGGTTTCCACTGCTTTTTTCATAGCAAGCTTCGATGGTGCCCAAATTATGGACCCAAATTCAAGCCGACTGCAGATTAGGGAAATGTAGATGGACTTAAACGTTTCTATACTTGATTTTTGAGGTACCTTTATTTTGAAACGAACTCAAAACCATAACAATTATAATGATAATAACAGTAAAAATAATGATAAAAATAATAAATTATAATAATCATAATGATAATAGTAATAATAATTTCAAAAATAAAAAATAATGATGATAATAATACCACCAGTGACTACTCACCACAGGCTGTGAATCCAAGTGGAATGTTATTGGGAATTTGGTTGATTCAAAAAAAGAGAGAAGATCGAGATTGTACAGTTTTATGAAAAGATATAGTGTTAACGGACCTTCATGTCAAAGATTCAGATTATGAACATCTGTCCTAAATTTTCTTTTTCTATGAAGGTATTCTGGTATTGCTAAGTCATACTGAGTCCAGAATACGGTACTATATAGATGGAGGGGTATCATCAAGACTTCGCTAGATAATCTAGCAGGAGTTCGAAACTAATTAATTAGGATTATGATAAAAATCAATCGCCGGTACAGCACTCCGCCTCTTGATGATGAAACTGGAATATTATAAGCATCAGGAAACTCTACGCATTTCATTGTCTGTTATAGACTGCAAACTCCTCGATGTCTTTTGTAAACCATGTTTCAATATAAAAGTTTATTACATATCTAGGACCAAAACTATACAATGCAGTACCTACATCACTGAAACATATAAGGAATAAATCAAAATTCAGAATAGAATTGAAAAGATTTGTGAAAAACAATTACGAAATGCTGATATTGATTCTGGACGGATGAACACGTTTTTAAACATCTCCAAAAATTTCTCTAAAATACCTCCTTATTCTCTCTTTATCTCATTTGACGTAAGAAAACTTATATAAAAATATGTAGCCATGATATATTTTTAGAAAATAGGATGACTACATTTCTTCAGCAGGCTACAATATAATCGCTTAGTATAGCAGCAATTTTCTCTATATAGTTTTCCTATCACTCAAATATATTTTGAAAATTTTAACTTTG